TATTTTCTAATAATTGACTCATCGCTTTATCAAGCGAATGATACATTTGAAGTGCTTTAGTTGCTAATTCATTTGAAACTTCACAAACTTCCATTAATGTATTAACGTCGCTTTGACTAATTTGTTCAATTGGTTTTTGATCAATTACTTTTTTAGATTTGAGGTCTGACATTTTTTCTTTTATATTAACATTAATTACATTTAATATTTCTGTTAAAGGAATACTAAGTTCTCCAAGTGTTGATTTTTTTGTTATTTTTTGTTGTGTTAATAATGTTTCAATTCCATTTAATTCTGTAGTTCCATTAATTTGTGATAAAATTTCTTCAATTGTACTATTTCTTTCTCCAATAACATTATATTCTTTTCCATTATATAATACAGTATATTCTAATTTTTGTTTTCTATTAATTTGATGATGAAGTTCTTCATTTCTTAATAATAATTGTAGTATTCTTAAATAATATATTTGTGGATCTTCTTTAATCCATTTCATTAATGTTTTATATGCATCTTCTCTTTTTGCACTAAGTAATACTTCTTTAAAAAATTTTTGACTTTTAACAATAGCTGTAGGTGACTGTAGTTTTTTCATTATTTTTTTTAATACATTTAACCATTCAAGACTTTCTAATGATTCTATTGTATTATAGTACTTCTCTTTTTTTTCTAATTTATATATCTTTTCTATTAAAAAAATAATTAAATCAATTCCATTTGTACTATCAAATATACTTATATTTTCTTCGGTAATCTTATCACTAAAAGCAACTGTTTCATACTCCAATAAAACTTCATTTGGTGTATTTAAAATATTACAAAAGAATGATATAATTAAATCTTTAAATGACACAGGTATGCAATCAACTAATAATGCCCAAAACTCATTTATATATTCAAAACAATCTTCTATATTAATATTAATATATAACTTAATAGCTTCAAGACAATATCTTAATACTTCCATTTGAATCTCTTTACATTCTTGATACACTACTTCTTGAACTAATTGTAAAAATATTGAAATATCTATTCCATCAAAATTGCATTCTTTTTCTAATGAAAGAACAATACTTTTTAAAAAGAATAATACAGAACATGTTATTTTCCCTTTCTGTGAATATTCTACTAATCGTTGGTATAAAAGAGTAAATAATTGACTTGTTCTACTTACATTAAGTTGATTGATTGTTTTATAACTTATCTCAATTGCTTCTTCTGTTAACATGTTATTAATTGTTGCAGCGCATTGGTCACCTCCAAGGTTTAATAGTTGAATATCTTCAACAGAATTAGGTTTATACATTTTAATCATCTGTTTTATTTCTTCTGTAATAGTAACTTTATTTATAATAAAGTTAATAACAGTCCTCTTAAGAGTATTGTCTTTAGTTAATTCTAATAACTTCTTAAAGAACTTGATTGGGTCTGAACTAAGTCCATGTTCAATAAGTGGTGTTATTTCATTAAATTCTTTAATACTATTAGGTGAAAGGAATGGTTCTATCATCTCATAATCATAAATACTATAAGATTGAATTACTGACAATTGGTCAGAACGGGGATACATCCCAATAGTTTCATGAAAATTTTTTATGAACTTTAATTTTAGTGAAGGAGCTTTTTTAATAATACTGGATAATAATTTCTCTGATTCTGAAGAAACCATACTATAATACCTAACACACAACTCAATAAAAATGTCATAAAATATTTCCATTGAAACAACTTCTTCATTTCTTATAAAAACAAAAATAATTGGAAAACCTTCATTAACATAAAAATTTGCAAATTGGGCATTAAATATTTTAGTGTTTACATTTTCTAATTCGATTTTTAAATGTGCAATTACACTTTCGTAACTGGAATCATCTCCTTCAATTCTTTTAATATACCATTTGACAAGGTCAATATATTTTTGACTCACATCTTCCATTTTCTATCTTTTTTTGAGTTTTTTAGTTCTTTCTAAGAAACCGTAATAAAAAGTATTATTTTTTTATTCCTCAAAATGCTTTTTTTGTTTTATTTTATTTAGCAATTGATTTTTTGTTATTTGTTTTTACAAATTGTACATAATTATTTAATAATTAGTAAAAAATAATAAAAGAATAATAAAAAATAAATCACCAAATCGAACTGGAATAATGGAAAACATAGTGAATGAGTGAAATTAAATACAAAAAACTCACAACTAAACTTGATAAAGGATTAAATCTTTGTCTTTTCGAAACAATATTCAATTGGAGACAAGTTAATGGATTAAAACATGATGATTATACAAGATATAGAAGATTTTGTTCACGTAGAATTAAGAGAATAAGACAAAAAGTCCAATTGATCAATAAATGGGAAAAGAAACAATTTAAACAATTAAAGTTGATTGCTGAACATATAAAACTCAGA